TTTGCCTTCATTTTCCATTAAAAAAATATTCAGATTTCAAATTTGAAAAACTATATCTTCCCTGTGCACATGTATAGAGGACACTATCAGAAGACAGTGAAATCAAATGTGTGTCATTCTATGCTACTACGTATCCTATGTTCTCTGGTCAGCACCAGTCAGCCATCTTTTTCCAACTCTTTAACTCATTAATTACCTGTAAATTGAACTATGAATGAAAACGCTGCGAAATCTGCTGTTTGTTAAAGACATGGCATCCCTCATGGGAAAAAAAAAAACCTGCTAGATCTCTAGGCCATGGAATTTTGAAAATCAGTTCCAGACCTTAGAAAAACAGGTCACTCTGTGACTGTCAAATTTCAGTGGTAATTCCCAACACAACTGACCTCATGAAAATTCAGATTCAGAGCAGATTTCCAATTCAAACATTGTTACTTGTGGCCTTTTATAAAACCAATCCATTTCAAGCTTCTTATACAAAAGTGGGGGCCAACCTTTCTGAAAAACATGACACAAGTTAGTCCCACGCCCACCCCCCAGTGTCACTTCAATCCTCTTCCCCTGCCTGAACTCCTGCTCTGCTTTCTGCTTCCTGCCCCATTTGCTGCTGTGTTGCCCATCCCCTCACTGATCATCTGTGTGCCACATGCGGAAGCTGCCTGTGACACTTGTGCCACAGATTAGCCAAGAAGTTTGCCACCTCTTTCCTAACTTGAGTAGGCTAGGACTTAGGGGGCTCCTGTACACATGTGCAGAGACTGCTCTGATGTGCTGAAAATCCAGTGCATCACAGCAGACTCGATTAATTGAGTCTGCTGGAGCACAGAAACTGATGTGCTCCGGCAGCCTTCCACATCATGTGTATCAGGGTCCCGGTGCATCTTTGCACTGAAAAAATGCAGGTGGGGTGCTTTGAAATAAAACATATTCAATAAGCTTTATTTCGAAGTGCCCCAGCAACATTTTTTCAGTTCAGGGACACTGATACACGTGACATGTGGGCACTTTTAATTAGCAAGACTTGCTAATTACAGTGCCCAGTACCACATCCCACAGCACATGTAAAAATATCCAGGGAGACTGAGCTGCAACACACTCTAGATCACAGAACATAAAAATTTGGCTGAGAGTTATAGGGCCAGGGGAAAGTAAAAGATCGTGTTTGTCTCCTGTAGTCTCAGTAAAGAATTTACTTCATAGTCACTACAGCCAGGTTCTGCCTCTTCCCTACCACAAGAGATATTATATGTTCCATCCTCTGCTTGTGGGAACAAATATCAGATTGCTATCCCACACAGTCAGGCTGCATAACACACTGGAGAACATTTTAGCCATAATACTCAAATGTGAAATGACTCTCATTTGTAACTCTTCAGTCATCCACAAGCCAAGGAATCCCAAATTTTATCTTCATTTTCAAGTAGCTGTTAACGGCAAAAAAAATGGCCCTTCAAAAATTTGCCAGCACTATTCTTATGCATCACAATGCATTAATCCCTAATACAACAGCAAAATGCAGTAAGGTTTGGTAATTGCTTCCGTTATCTTTTTGGAAATACAGAGGAACATTTCATTCTCCAGTTACGAAAATCATATGATATAGTATCTGTTACTAAAAAAAAAAATTAAAAAGATGGTTAGTAATATATTTGAAATCAAATTACTTAGGGTTTAAAAGCCTCTTTTTTACACTCATGACATAAGTTGTACTAAATGTGCTTAGGTTGAGATCATTTTTTAATTCTGTGCTTTTTAAACACCTACACTATGAAATATTACTTTGTTGCTTGTTTCCTGGAACATTGTTGCAGGACCTCAGAAAAGAATATTAGCAGTTTCCTCCCAAGACTCTGGTACCTGTCAGCACAATCAATATAGTCTGGCAGGTCAAAAAGAATAATAAAAGGGATCAAAGGAACAAGCCTACTCCACATTACACTGCATGCAGTTAAAATACTTAAAGAGTACATGAAAAGATGGCCTTATATGTCAGAGTTTCTCCACATTCCCTATCTATTGAAGAGAGTCCCTGCATACTACCTCACCTCACTTTTCATACGAAAAGTTCTCTGTGCTCTTCCCAGCATACCAAAAATTGTGTTCATCCTTTTTTCCCCTGGTGCACAACAGACACCCATCTTCCATATTCCTAGTTTACTAAAATCCATCAATACCCTCCCACAAGGTTCTGTGTGCTACCCAACCCTTCCACTCCCTTCCTGCCAACACACAATTATCTTTTTGCTTCTACCTGTCTGAGTGTTGGTGTTAACATTTATTAGAAGTATGGGCAGAGATGAGATGACGGTGTTTTTCTGGAAGGTGGTAATGGGTGTCACCACTTGGTTACTTAAGCTATGAACAAGTGCAGAGGTACTTGAAGCTTTGGCTCTACTAAACCAAAATCAGGAAAACCATCTTTTCCATTATCCCTGCTTCATTTGTCTTGTTCCTCTCCCAGTGCAGTAGGGTTCTAGCCACTGATGGCTAAAACATTCCTAGAAAATTAGGAGTTGATCAGATGCAACAATCAATGAATTTCAACATTCATTGCATTTTATCCAAACAGAAATGCAATCAAGATAAACACAAATTTTACCAAGCTTGGCCACTTAATTATCGTATTTAAAAAAAACCCAACAACATAGAGGGCACATCCAGACAAGTGCAGACATGTGGCATTGTAGACCCATCTGTAGTGATACATACCACATGTCACACATGCAGGTGTTCCGGGAAGTCCCAGGGTCAAAAAAAACCATGCCTAAAAAAAGTAGGGTGGTGCCCCTAACAGCAGCACATGCCACCCAAAACCGGAGCCTGGCCAGCCAAAGCCACACTCCAGCTGCCAGCCAGGCTACCTGCTGAAGGAGCACCCTGGCTGCAGCTCCTGGAGGCCCCCAGGTAAGTCTGTGGGGGCCAGTACAATTGCTGACTCCAGCCTGCCCTACCCCACCCAGGGCAACATGCTGCATGCCAAAGCAGACAAGGCACAAGCTTTCCCCAGGGACAAGTGCCACTGCTCCTTGTGCCCAGGGAAACGCACATTCCT